ATTTAGGTATCAGTGATATAAGGCCCGTGATTGCACCTTGAAACATATAAAGAGTCTGTTATAGTTGGTTTAATGTGATTATTTGGCATTCCATTAGTTTGCAGGTTTGTTTCTTTGTACTGCAGAAACTCCAATGGATACAAGAAGGGGGTATGGTAAACAAATGCATTAAAAATTATACATTTCAAGTTCAAATATCATCTCAGGCCTCAGGTCTGCTTTCAAATGAAGAATCAAATGCAAAATCTATTGCAATGTGGTACCTGACTTGAAGATGGAGGCACTGAAATCAAAATCAATGTGCACATTCAGAACATCATTGTTCATTTCATGTTCAAACCCCTTCTCCATCCATATTTCTTTTCCAGGAGGATTCACTGAACATGCACACCAGCTTTGATCCAGATATATCTGGCTTTGAGGCAAAGATCACATTACAAACAAACAGAAACTTACAAATGAAAACAGGGTTGAGAAGCCTGTTGTCTTCCAGATGTTTTCTCATTATCCCTAACCAGTGAATTCATTTAGACATGGCCCTAGAATAATGCCAAATAAGCCACCTGATTCCCTTACTACAGATTGCCCAATCAATTTATTTCTAGCAATAAATGAACAAAACAAAAAGGATAAACACAAATCAACGTGAATTCAGCTGTTAAACACACCATGTGAGCCTTGGCCCTTTCGTGTAAATACAGATGTGCTTTGAACATCTGCCTGGGAAATTTCTGTTTATGTTTCATGTGTTCTTCAAAAAAGAAAAAAGTGCAATTCAAGAATGCCATTATCATGGCTTTGCTTCATTTAATACCACAGACATCTGAAGAGTTAACTTGCTTCAGAAACTTTGACAAAACGCCCTGCAATAAACGAAACCTATTGCAGCAACAAAGGTTTTTAATTGTCTCCTGTGTAGCATCACCTTGATTGGAGGACATCACAGAATATAAAGCACCACCTCAATAGATCTTCATTACTGCGGTTACCACCCACAAAATTGTTGACAAGCCACTGGAAAGTGAGGCCTGGCACCAGTAAACTGCTAAAATGGTTTGCTAGAGAGCGACAGGAGGTTGGAGGGCTAAGAGGCCAGACAGATAAGGTTGCGGAGATTAATGAGCCAAAGTTTCATGAACACCTTTCTTCAAAGACATCTATGCACTCATGGTAACCTTCATTCAAAAACACATACAATCCTTCGATCAGATTTAACTCCATTTTACTACCTGACTATGCAACTTACAGACACCTTCTTTCTCCACATAGAGAATCGCCCTATTACTGAAGGTGAATAAAAGCACAAAGGTTTGGATTCCAAACTAAGTGAATGGAAGTAAGTGAAAGGAAAGTGTTCCACTCCTTCTTTTCCTCATGTGCCCTCTGAAAAACCTCTCCAAGGGGGTTGGGGCCCTCTTGAACAGGGGGTAGTGTCATGGGACTTCTAAAGGACAGGTAAAGGTAAAGGTACCCCTGCCCGTACGGGCCAGTCTTGCCAGACTCTGGGGTTCTGCGCCCATCTCACTCAAGAGGCCGGGGGCCAGTGCTGTCCGCAGACACTTCCGGGTCACGTGGCCAGCGTGACAAAGCTGCATCTAGCGAGCCAGCGCAGCACACGGAACGCCATTTACCTTCCTGCTGGTAAGCGGTCCCTATTTATCTACTTGCACCCGGGGGTGCTTTCGAACTGCTAGGTTGACAGGCGCTGGGACCGAGCAACGGGAGCGCACCCCGCCGCGGGGATTCGAACTGCCGACCTTTCGAGGCTTTTACCCACAGCGCCACCCGCGTCCCACGGGTACAAAGGACAGGTACATTGTCCCAAATCATTCTTCTGTTCAATTATCTTGGTCTCTGAGCCTATATCAGCACAGATCCAGTAAATACTCCCCAGAGACAAATTTCTTTAAGAGAAATGTGTAAATAAGAAATGAGAAATGCACCATTTGTAAAAGTGAAGCCAAACGTCCAGGAATTTACTATTTCATAAGAATGCAGTCATACCTCAGGTTACAGCCGCTTCAGGTTGCGTTTTTTGCGGGTTGCGGACCGCCGAAACCCGGAAGTACCGCAATGGGTTACTTCCGGGTTTCGGTGGTCGCGCATGCGCAGAAGCGCTAAATCGTGCTTTGCACATGTGCAGAAGCACCGAATCGCAACCCGTGCATGTGCAGATGGGTTAGAAAAAAGACAGAGGCTCAGTTTGAGGACAGTCTGGGACCTCCATACACACTGTCCAGACTTGTGCCCCATGGAGGTCACTTCAACACTTGTTAACACAGCAGTTTGACTTCACTCTCAGAGGTGCACTCCATTGTCTGTTGACAGGTGCCAACAGAAACTGGGTTCTGGATTAGGTTAATTAGCTATAATGATTATGTAGTGCTGTTTGTCACAGACTTTTTATTAGCTGTTTCCTAATCACCAGCGTGGGTACACTGCCTGTTGCACTTTGGTTGAAAACTGAGCTTCTTGAAAGACAACCATGATCAAACAATGTCTGTTAACCACTAAATCATGCAATATCTTTCTTCCAAAAAATAAAAAAATAAAAAATAAGCACAGAGAGGACAAGATAGGAAAAGACCACGCTCATAGTCAGCTGAATGATAAATGGTTTTCTGGAAACTCTGAGGTGCCAACATCCATCCCTGCAGCAACTCTGTTCCTCTTCTTCTAAATCAGTCCCAGGCAATGATTTGTTGTGTGCTTGTTTTTCATGGTCACCAAATCAAAATACTGTAATTTGTTTTGGACGCTCTGCTGTAGACCACAGCATCTGAAAGCAAATGTACCCTTGATCCTGTCCCCCCCCCCTCCACAGTTTTGATTTGCTCCAGATAGAAGATAAATGAGGAAAATTTAGATGATTTCCCTGCAGACATAGAAAACAACAAATCTGGTACTTGTTGTTGTTTAGTCGTTTAGTCGTGTCCGACTCTTCGTGACCCCATGTGGTACTGCTTGCTTTTAATTCTTACATCATTCCTGTCAAGGGTGCTTCCTGGTCAAAGAAATGCACACAGGAGAGAACTCTTTATTCTGAAAGATAACAAAGTGGCTTCTGCAGCTCTGGAGTCTTATGCGCACCAATCTAATGTACAGGCAGCTATTCAAAGGTCCACATTCTATGCAGCAGTTGCAGCACTTGGGAACCACTCCCCCTCCACCAGTTAATGCACCTTAGCCTGATGGGCTGTGCACACGTAGCCAGAGACTACACCTGCATGGAAGCTTCCGCTCTATCCACTTCAGTTCTCTCCTGGTTCTGGGAGACAATGGTCCAGGAGAGGGTGGGAAAGCACCAAGCCCTTCCCTTGCCTGGCCTGCCTCTTTCTCCAGCTCTGAAGGTTCCCCCTCTTTGATTCTTGCCTGCTGGCTGGTACAGTTCGCCACAGACCCCTGCCCCCCTCTCCCAATCAGACTCCAGCTCCACTTCCTCTGGTGAACACTCATTAGCATCCGGCCAGTCCCTGACAATTCATTTACCCCCCTCCCCCCGCAAAAAATGTCAGCATTTAGGTAACTGTAAAGGTAAAGGACCCCTGGATGGTTAAGTCCAGTCAAAGGCGACTATGGGGTTGCACCACTCATCTCGCTTTCAGGCCAAGGGAGATGGTGTTTGTCCACAGACAGCTTTCTGAGTCATGTGGCCAGCATGACTAAACCGCTTCAGGCACAACAGAAACCAGAGTGCACGGAAACACCGTTTACCTTCCCACCGCAGTGGTACCTATTTATCTACTTGCACTGGCATGCTTTCAACTGCTAGTTTGGCAGGAGCTGGGACAGAACAACAGGAACTCACCCCATCACAGGGATTTGAACCACCAGCCTTCTGATCAGCAAGGGGCTCAGTGGTTTAGACCACAGCACCACCCGCGTCCATTTATGTGAATAATGTCTATCACAAGGCCCAAGGATTGCTAGATAAACATTCCAGCATTGGTTTTTCCTCCTTGCTTATCTTTTGCAGTCATATGGCTTGCAAGCTAAGTGGTTGATGTGCATGTTCGGCCTGTTCAGACAATCGTTTTCTAAAGGTTTGGATCAGGGCTGGGAAACCTGCAGATATTTTAGGACTACAACTCCCATCGTTCTTGACAGCTGGCCATGCTCTATGCGTCTGATAGGAGTTGGGGTCTTTATTCATCATATTATTGTGATGCATTTCTACAGCAAAATAAGTATATTATAAAGGCAAAAAAGATCTATTACTTAAAAAAATAATCATGGAAATAAATAAAAGAAACAGAACTAAAATGGCAGCACTGAATTACCTATTGAATCCAAACAATCTAGGTTTCTATCCAATGCAGCAGTGAGTAGCTGTCCGATCAGTACAAGGATTTCTACTAGTACAGCTGGACTTTCCCCATCCCCCCCCCCCACCAAAATGTGCCCTGTGCCCTTCCCAAATCTGTTCTGGAGGGTTGGGGGGCAAACCCAGAACAGTTGTAGGGACTGCACAGCAGGAGGAGAGTGGTGAAAACCCCATTACCCTTGCACTGATGGAAAAGTTCCTTAGCACTGCATTGGATACAAGTCTCAACAAGTGCCTAGCCTGCCACTCAAAAGTTAAGCCAAGTAAAAATATCAACACTTTCTAGAGGCAAGTAAGGAAATGAGACTTTTTATTTTCAGGTGGAAGATTGCATTACCTCCCTTTCACCCATCAAATATATATATAAAATACCCAGTCACTGACAACAGTTAATATTTATTCCATTATTCCATTTCACAACAACAATGAAATCGGCTTCTGCATTCCTAGCCAAGACTCATATTGACATCAAGGGAACAATTCAGCACCTAAGTCATCCTGACTATAGCGTCTTTGTATTTCCAATGCACAAAAACATCCAGCTGTTATTCATCATGCCACTGTGACCTTGGGGCTTATTTGCTTCGAATTGTGCTTTTAAAGGCCTTCTGACTATTCTGGATTTCAATCACCAATTACACTTTTCTGGTTCAACTTTCCCTTTCCCCCCACTTACCATCCAAGCTGTGACAAAGTCTCCCATCCAGGTCCCCACGGCTGCTACCTTCATAAAACTTTCGTTCCTGATGCCCATGAAGTCTGTTACCACGTATGGCCTGTAAATGCAAGCACATATACCGTTACGTTACAAACATTCAGGCACAGCAGAATTATGGATGATTTGGCTTTGCTGGCACAGAGAAGAAAGGAAAATAATTTGTCCATCAAAAAGTGCTTTGTTTTGCAGTCTAGATATTTGTTTCCTCATTTGCCTTCATAGACTTTCTTACTTCATGCTAGCATACAAGCGGTTCCATGTGCACCTACCTTCAAGTCCCATTGAAGTCAATGGAACACAGTTTTGAATGTTGAAAAGCAGAGGTTCATATTCAAAAAAAAACTAGAAGTGGTATTCACAAAATGAACACATATACTATATACTGTACTATATAAAACACAATAGAATTAATCTAAACAAAGGTCAGTAACAACGTTACCCATCATCAATATTCTGGAATTGTCTATGTAACAGAAATGTTTTGAGCTGGCATCAAAAACACAGAACAGTTAGCACTTGTCTAATTTCAAGAGGCAGAGCAGGCACCAAAAACACTAAGCTCTACTCCAAGGAACCACTGAATATGTGGAACATGCAGAGGTTCCCATCTGAAGAACTCAATAATCATACAGGTCAGAAGGGGGTTTCTTAGGTACCCTGATTTCAAGAGCTTTGTAAACTATTAACAAAGGGTTGGTTATATCTGCGCCTGAGCAGATTCAGTTAAAAATGTGATATAATGTTAAACTACATGTGAGGTGAAAAGTGTTAACCAGTTGAGGGTGGAGTCACGTTTGAGCTGTGTCCCAAATCGTTCTGGTAACCTAGGTGAATGAATGGCATGATTTCTTCTAGATTAGAATCATCCCAAAACCTAGCAGGAGAAGAAATCACATTTATTTCCCAACCCACTTGGTTCTTCCTAAGAGTAAGAAGCTTCTTAATGGAAAAAGATGCACAACTGTGTTAGAGGTATTTTGCCAAAGGAGAGCTGTACCTGAAAGATTCCTGCATTGAGCAGGGGTTTGAATTAGATTGGGATGGAAAACCTATGGCCCTTCCAACTACTGTTCTCCCCGCATGCATGGCCTATAACAGAAATGATGGAAACTGTAGCCTGACAATACCTGGAGGTCCTTTTCAAGGTCCTTTCCAACTATGTTTCTACAGTTTCCAACAAATGAAATGAGAGTCACCCTGGGAACATATGAGTTTCCCAAATCTGTATAAACTGCTTTTAACTTGTGAACCAAATTTTGCAGGATTTCTTTTGCAAATTTTGAAGGCTACTTTTGCAGCTAAAAGCCAAAATGGGATCAAAGTGACTGAATCACCTATCATATTTTGTATTGCACAATTTGGACTGGAGTTTGTAGTTCTTCAAAGTCTATGAATTGTCCAGCCATCATTCTTTTAGCAAGTCTCTTTTAGAGTCAGAATATGAATGGGCAATGCAGGGGGCAGATAACAAAATTGGACTGGTGGACAAGCAACCCCGTTCCCCATGGGCCACATTTGACAAGCTGCTAGGGCCACCCAGCTGTCAATCACCTGATGCCACAAGGACAATGATGTTAGGTGACCCATTTTCCTTTTTCAAAGTGGTTTGAAAGACATAGGGCTTTGTGGGTACAGATTGGCAAAATATGTCTTGCTGGTCAAAAAGTGAGGCTGGCAGGCTTCAGCCCACAAGACAGACATTCCCCACAGCTGGGTTACTGGAAACTGTTTATGGAAAACCCATGAAGCACTGTGTCTTGGGCCAGAGTCAGTCACTGAAAGTTCTATGACACCACTTTAGACAGTCGTGGCTTCCCCAAAGAATTCTGGGAGATGTAGTGTGGTGAGGATGCTGAAAGTTGTTAAGAGACCCCTATTCTCCCGACAGAGCTACATTGAAGTTCTTCATGAAGAGGGATTGGTGGTTGAACCATTCCGGTAATTATATCTGTGTAAGAGAGATACTGGTGGCGCTGCGGGTAAAACCTCAGCGCCTAGGACTTGCCGATCGTATGGTCGGCGGTTCGAATCCCCGCGGCGGGGTGAGCTCCCGTTGTTCGGTCCCAGCTCCTGCCCACCTAGCAGTTCAAAAGCACCCCTAAATGCAAGTAGATAAATAGGTACCGCTTTATAGCGGGGAGGTAAATGGCGTTTCTGTGTGCGGCGCTGGTGCTGGCTCGCCAGTGCAGCTTCGTCACGCTGGCCACGTGACCCGGAAGTGTCTTCGGACGGCGCCAGCTCACGGCCTCTAGAGCAAGATGAGCACGCAACCCTAGAGTCTGACACGACTGGCCCGTACGGGCAGGGGTACCTTTACCTTTACCCTAAGAGAGATAAGGATCCAGCTTGTTCTCTAGATTCAGTTTCTTACCTCTGAGACAAATTGCTCCTATCTTTGGCTAATGTAGAGTCAACTGTAGACATAGAAATACTGTAGCCTTAGGGCAAGATTGCATTACAAAGATTCTCATTTTAACTAACTAATTTATTCGTAATGCTAACACATTTACAATTTGTTTTCTTTTTTTTCTTTTTAATTTGCCCTAACCATACCTTAGGTCATCTTCCACCTTCCCAGTATATCTAGCTGCTATACTCATTATTTAACAGCACATTTTGCCTAGTCAAGTCACTGGGTGTGTGGGAGGGGAAAAAGTCGACTGCAAAGCTTTCATTTTGATCCATTCCAAAATAAAAAATATAAAAGAGGGGATTATTTAGCTGCCTTGGCAATATATAGGTTGCCAAATTAACTTGAAACGCTGCTTTGGAAAACATGCAACTTTTTCACATTTTTATCTAAACTTTAATAGCATTCATTTTTTAGCTACAAGTTCTTTCACACCAGCTGCTTTTGAACAAAAAAGGCACCCCAAGTAAGGTTTGTTTCTTTTCTGGAAATATAATGGGCATAGATGCTACTCTATTTATATGCCCTCGCCACTTACAGAGCATAAGGAACCTCTGTTAAAGACATGCTATTAACAGGTTTACTTGCTGCTAAATTCAGTGTATTTTGGTTGGATAGAAAATGCTTTCCTCCCCTTACTAACAGTACATTTAAGACAAAACACTACAGCTGAACTCCATGTTCTCTATACTTTTTGGATCAGAAGAAGAGTTGGGCGGTGGACAGGGGTTCACACCTCCTATCTGAAAAAGTCCTTAAGCTCATCTTTTTGCATGGCTACTTATAGACATGCCTTTCTTTGCTGCTGCTTTGGAAATCTCTCCCCCCATTTCATTATTCTCAAGTAATAAGGATATAACAGGTAATGTCCTGGCAACTGCTACTACTTAGGGGTCTAAAACGTATACATTTTTACTTACCTTTAACATATTGTTACAACTGTTACTTTATACAGTGGTACCTCAGGTTAAGTACTTAATTCGTTCCGGAGGTCCGTTCTTAACCTGAAACTGTTCTTAACCTGAAGCACCACTTTAGCTAATGGGGCCTCCTGCTGCTGCCATGCCACCGCCACGCGATTTCTGTTCTCATCCTGAAGCAAAGTTCTTAACCTGAAGCACTATTTCTGGGTTAGCGGAGTCTGTAACCTGAAGCGTATGTAACCTGAAGCGTATGTAACCTGAGGTACCACTGTAGTTCAGAGCAACAGGGGCAGCAGGAATCATGAGAGAAATGATGTCCAACCCCACAGTTTTCCCCACATCTTGACTTTTTCCTTAGCGCGCGTGCGTGCGCGCACACACACACATCGCAATTCGTGATATATCGCCATGTTGAATATTATGAAACTATTGCCATGATGTGGCCTTCAAACAGATTTCGGATGGTGTATTGATACATCCCATAGTTTGTCCCATAGTTTCTAGTTTCAGGCTCCAGGCTCACCTCAGAAAACTGCCCCCGTATAGGCTCATGTTGATGTGCTGCTTGGCTTCTCCATGTTAGACTCATTAATTCCCGGGATAGCATGGTTCGAGAAAGTACTGCTACTGACATCAGAGCACTGTGTATAAACCACCAAAATGGAGGGACCAGTTCACACACACACACACAAATGACACATTTCCCACAACCCAGAACAACTGTCAGTTTCCCTCCACCTTTATATAGTAACAAGGCTTTTGCATGAGGCCACATCTAAAATAGCTCCTACTAAACAGAAGCTATGGACCAATCTCTCCTCCATCCACATTCAACAGGCTGTCGGCCGCCCATTCAGACCCACAATCGGATCATTTTAACCTGATCTTCGTTTAGTTTGCAATACGCATATGGCAGCTGTGGCAGCAAATGCAAGACAATTTGAGAAAGGATACAACCGTGGACTGGAGAGAACAAAATAAAGAGATATCATACCAGAACCACAGAGTTATCAAATCAGAGACATTTTCTATTTGAGAGATCACAAGATTAAATGAATGGACCACAGATGTGAACAATTTAAATCATTTCAGCAGTTCAGTCTACTTTGATTCAGTTTATAGTCTAACTCCTGTAGCTCTTTATAAATAAACAAAAGAAAACAAAAAGGGAAAGCCTCACGAGGAATGGGTTACTGAATGTTGCTTCCATTCCAGTATATGTGACAGTTCACATCCTGCACCATTCTCTTTCCTGTGCCTACATGGTATATCCAGTTATGACACTTACAATGTGCTTTTATTAAAGAAATACCCTTAACTATAGAACAGATGAAGTGATTTACAAGAGGAAACATCAGTGGCGCAGAACTCATAATTCCATGGATTAGCTTGCTGCCAGGTCTATAACAGCAGCTTTTAAAAAGCCTTCAGGACAGGCTTAAAATTATATGTATTTAAAATAAATACAAAAAAGACAAAGTTTCCTTGTTTGTTTGATGTGTGAAATCACAGCTAGGGTGCATTTTCTCCCTTTGGTTATATAGGCTTAGAATTGTGTTTGCTGTCCACATTAAGTCCCCAAGGTGTTAATTAGCCAGATACATTTCTCCATCTAAGTACACAAAACAACCCAAAAACAATCCTGTGAACCAGTTCAGACGCAGGAATTTCAAAGAGCACCAAAGGATATTCTAAATCCCAGTCTCCTGAGGCAGTGGAAGCAAA